AGTTTACTGAATTAGTGAAAATAACAGGCAACAGGCAAATATGAACATGGAGTTTACTAACTTCAGCAACTTGACTCTACAATTAAATTACTGTTCTTTTTAACATTGTTTAAGGCTAGGTGCACAATTACTATTTTAGCATAGTGAAAAATTTTTCTGCAAGCATGTAAGCAAAAACCAATTCAAAAATGTTTATAGTTTCTATTTTGTCAAGTTCTATAGTTTCAGTGCAATGTAGGATTTGGTATCATCTTTCTTTATGATCAAGAAACAGTGGCATGTGCTGTATGTAAAATACATAGTATATGCCATATATAACACACCATATGAAGACACACTGCTAAAGCCTGAAGATGGAAAAAACATTCCCAATCCTTTTTACAGAATGCATTTCTGGGTTTTAATCAAAATTTCATCTTGATCACCATCTTCCAAGAACATGTTCTTCAAATAGCACATATACTCATCTATCTGAATACTCATGCTCACCCAAAGATGTTCACTTGTGTCTCAAAAAAGCATTATATAAGTGGTTTAAGATTTATGTTCCTTTTTTTTTTTAACCATACTTTCTGTCTTATGTGCTTTGTAGTCTGATGTGTTGTGGGATAATTTCAGATATTTAGCAGATATTAAATGGGTGTTGCTTCAAATCTGACAAGAATACTAGCAATTTTATTAGTTTAAATCACATCAAGCAGTATATGTATTACTATCCCATACTTTAAAATACTAATGGCATTGTGCTGAAGCATAGCTCAGAACTTACAGTAAGCAAAAAGATTTAATTCAGTTTCAAAAGGGGAAGCATTCATAGTGTAGCTGAATGAAACTGCAAAGAGAGAGCCTAAAATTTATCTCTAACAACAATGTTGTTGCTATTTACACCAGAATAAATATATTACGCTTATTGTTTGCACAGCACGACAATAAAGCTGATCAAGTACCTCTTATTGCAGCTGAACTTGTAAAACACCAAAATACGCACTATGCAAGAAGGAACACTAAGCAGAAAACAAGCTCATAGGTACAGCCAAAAAGAGCAAAAGGTCAGCATTTGCCAATTGCTACTGTGCAGTTTCCACAGCTACCAGGAATTCTCTTTTTTTCTAATCCAGAGGAAATCTGAGGGAACCTCAGATACCATTGTGTGGTAACTGCTGGCAAACATTACAGATTTTATCTCAGCCACTGGCATACTAACTGCTTGCATTTCAACACCAATTTTTCATTCAATTTTTTCATCTTTAAGAAGAAGAAAATGCACTTCCTATGAAGTACAAACTAATGCATAGATTAATAAATAAATACAATGTATTTGAACTGCCTTACCTACTTTATAAAATGAAGTTTAGGAATAGACACTAAATATATACTACCATGTCATGAATAATTGGTTTTAGTCTTTAAACCAGGTTACTGAAAAGAAGAATGCACTCCATATGCAGTAAGCTGGAACAGAACCTGAAAAATGTTTTAATGGATAGTAAAGGAGCCCAATAAATTTTAACAGCTATTTAATGAACTCCTATTCCAAACAAGTCAACTTCAGGTGAGGCCTCCTACATGCAGGTACTCTTCAACTTCATAAATTTCCATGTTATAAAGCACGGCCAAGCACAGTCACTTACTTTGGCCTCCCATATAAAATAAAATGCAGGACTTCATGAAATTCAAGCATTTTAAAATTAATATGCATTTTTCTAGAACAAGAACCAATCTTTTAAAAATGGGACACAGAGAAAGCATATTAGATCAAATTGACAACACCTAATCTGAACATGCAGCTTTGGCAGCAAGACTGGGAAATGCTGATTTAAAAAAGAGCCTGAATCACAGAAAAACAACAAAGAAACAAATCTATCAGGACCAGTCTGCATTATTTTCCACTCCACCCTAGTTACCTTTGTACAGAGGGACAAGTATGTTCTCAGTTTTTGACCTTAAGAATGCTTGACTTGAAGTTTGGATCTGATTATCGTGATCGTCACATGTTTTTATGTGCTCCTACCTGATTAATACTCACCCTACAACACTTTAATCTTCCAGAATCAGAGAAGGCTGCTCATCCAGAACGAAAAGGAACCAATGACTACAGTATCACTTGTAGCTACAGTTTATCACATGAAATTTTTGTTACATAGATAAGTGGAAAGTAGTTCAGAAGTGGCAAAACAAATGCTGAGGTCAAAAGAATATCCTACTTGGCTCTAATTTTAACTATAAGCAAATCGAGTACTGCAGTCCTAGCTGTTCTTCAAGTCTCTTCTCAAATACATAATTTCATTATCACAGAGTGATAGCGCAGAAGACCAAAATGATTTTATGAAGTTCAGCTTATAATTAGCTGTGCATCTGATTCCATATTATCTCCAATGCATTATCAGTTACAATAGTATAACTTAGAAGTAACCCTGACCTTGTATTACTAAAACCTTGCAGAACTTGCTGAAGTATCACGACAATCCTTTGGGATATACAATACAGTATATAACACTTTCAACACTCAGCTGCAGAGAAATAATTGCTGTATGATAAATAAACTAACTAGGGCCCATTGCATTATGTGCTTAATGAGAAGATTGGCTCTTGCAAAAAGTTAGGAACCATCAATACATACAATGCTCGCACAATGACTAGTGTGTGATGTCACTAAGGTTACTAGCGTAACTGGGTACCTTTCATTTTAGGGTGCTTTGATACATTACATTAAGATAGTTCCTCCCAAAGACCTATATTTCTGCTATGGTCTCTGAAGTAAATCTGGTTGGTTCATATAATAGATGTGTATTTGGCATTTTTCCTTCCCTGCTTGGTCTGCTAGACTGCCTCTTATTAGTCTACAAACTGCAGTGGACGTAGACTTGTATGTTATTATGATTTTAGAGAAAGCGGTATCCTACCTGTAGAATCAGAAAATAAATTATAGAAAGGGTCTAGGTGGAAAAATAAAGATTATTAATAGATTCTTTTGATTTATCACTTAGATGCATAAATTCATATAGATTTGGTGAAAAGTTTCAGATTTCTTTTATGTAATTTTTTGTTAACTACAGAAATCATGCCTCATTATCATCTTGCCTAAAGCGTTCTCCCTAGGACCTCACTCGGACCTCGGTTTACAACCTTAAATTACAGTGATATGATTCTAAATCTTACTGCTTGGTGAGAAAGGTATGAAGTCTGGCTGAAGTACAGTTTCCTAAAGATACCGAGAGGTTTCCAGACCATGGCCCTTTGGCATCAGAAAGCCAAATACATTTTTCCAAATTCACACCATCTTTGAAATGGTAAAGGAAGGAAGGAGCAAGTTGTTTCACTCAAATTCTGCGAAAGGATGCCATTTCTGCATGCTTGTCCCAAGAAAGGGGATTTATCCCCACGTTATGAGGGTTATCATGTCACCCTGAATATTTCTACATTTCACTATGCTACTAAACACGAAAGCAAGATAAGCATGTGGCTGCTGCTTCTGATACACAAACTCCTTGACACTACCCAGCAATACTTCCTGAAGTTCAGTAAAATTAATAACCCTTTTAAAATGTTTATGAAAGCAATTGCGCTTTGAGAAGCTAATACAGTCACCTCCCATTTTTTTTGACACAGCATGACTTGGCACATGCTTTAGTTTAGGTTTAGTAATCTCAAAAACATTATCATATGCAGTACTTTATCCACTTTAACATATTTACCATCACTGAATGATAATTCCTTCAAAGCCAAGGACACCTCAAGGAGGCCTCCTAATCATGAGAAGGTAACTGTAAGCCTCCTTTCTGAACAGGCAGGGCAGGGAGTACAGTAGAGAGCTACTAACATGATTTTTTCCCCAGTCTTACTGGATCCCTCATCATAGTTATTCTACTAGAAAGAACCTGGGTACTTGCATTACTCTTTTTTTCAGTGCTTTTTCACCATTCCTGCCCCCTTTCTTCATACTGTTGTCTGTCCTCACTCATCTGCTGATACCTGTCTCTGTCTCTTTTTGTCTTTTTTCCCATTTTCTATTCTCTTGAAAAATTACTTTCTTGACTCATAATAATTCTTTTTCTCCTTCTCTCTTTCCCCACAAAGCTGATACGAAACTCCTGAGGAGGAACTGACATTGATGGTAAATCCTGATCCAATATATCTGGAGAGCAGAAAAGAGAATATTAGGGAATTTAAAAAAAATATTCAGAGAGTTGAGAGCCTGAATTCATGCTAATTGTCATCCAAAATATGGACTATATGTAAGGCCAATCAATAATCTGAATTACGGAGATTACAGATGGTTCACTGGAGACTAAACATAAACTGATTCTAGATTTTACAGGCTAGATCGTTATCCCATGTGATTATACATGCATGAGACTGACTTAAAGTGCCCCTAAGAAAAACCATAAGAAAAACATGACTTTGGGGGTTGAATGCTCACTGCTAGAATCTGTGAACAGAGAAATTTTTATGTGTTTTATTCCTACTGTATTCACTGAAACAGGGCGGTGGGTCTGTTTTTTGTTAGTAATGAAACAAAGAACTGCTTTAAAAAATACCCAGCTCTTCTCAGTTTCTCATGGTAACATTATGCAAGATCCTGAAAATTTCTCAAGTCAAAAAGGAGTAGCATGATGCACAAGTATTTCAGGATAAATTGTGCCATATATTCTACAGCACTTTTCCCACACGCATCATTCATGTAGGGAATTAAGTACTAGTGGAACTTAAGTTTTGGTTTATATATGAAGGTCTACCATGTCACTTTTGCAGTCTACAGTAAAAGTTTATAAATTTAGAAAATAAAATTTTGTCTAACCCTATCTGTCAGTACATATCAAATTAAAGAATACCTTTTCTTTCTGTCAAGACGGAAAGATGGAGCAATAATTCATTAATTCACATAGACTAATTACAAAAGCACACCATTAACTAGAAAAAACAAAGGCAGAACTACAACTTCTCTATATTTCCATAAGTAACAGCCTTTTATTGCTACGAGAGACAGTATTCAGACTTACTGTGCATTTGTTCGGCTTCTCTCCTGAGTGGACTCTCATGTGAATCAGCAGTTTATAACGGGCATTAAATGGCTTGTACCTTCGTGGACACCCTGCCCAGAAGCAAGTGAATTCCTCTCCCTTTCTCTGGTCTATATGGATCTTCTCTATGTGTTGCACAAGTTCCTCTTGCTGGTCATACAGCGCACCGCAGTCAACCCAGTGACAGCCATGCTTGCCGTTTAAATCATCTATCTCACCATCTTCATCAAGCAGGGAGCCTGGGGCAGAAGGCGGTACCTGCAGTGGCTGAATGTGACTCGGGAAGCTGTGTGGATGCCTGTGCTGGTGAGCGTGGTACGGTGGGGGTGGGCCTTGTGGAAGAGGCAGTGGCAACAGGGGTGGAGGAGGCATGTCAACCGTATGGCCTGAGAAGTCATCCAGCCGTTCATTTTTCAGGACAGCCACCACTTGGCTGTCCACGGGCAGCACGCCCTGCTGGATCACCATATTGCTTGTGGCAGCCATCTCCAAGCTGGCTTGCTCCAGCTGTTCCATCTCCTGGTACTCAGCAGCCCCATTCTCGGCATACCCTGGGAAGGTGACGTTGCCATTAGCCATGAGAAGGCCTTTCTGGGCAGTTGGAATAGAGCAATTTGGAGGTATACAGCGTCCTCTCAGTCCCAAAAAATGTCCATAGACCTCAGGCTGTGGGGAGACGCTTGCTGGTGATGTCCTGGAGCTGTTGATGTAGGCCACCAGAGAGGTTGGGGACGTACGGATGATTGTATTGAAGTCAATCCCAATGCCGTCAGACAGCGGAGACAAAGAGAGCGCTCTCTTTTTGGAGCGGGTTGATTGAGACCAGGCTGAGGAACGGTGAGGACTAGAGTAAGGGGAATGCTTATTTTCCATGCCATGTAAGTAGGACGGTAACGAGTTAGAGACGCAGTTGCTGGACACAGATGCTCCAGGCAAAAAATTTAGTAAGTCCCCCAGCTCACTGCTGTTTTGTAAACCTTGGTCAGGAGGAATAGAAGGATGTGTCCTAAATCCATGCAACCACTCTTGCTTTACACTCAAAGTGGACTCACCTTCTGACAAGCTTAACGTTGTAGAGGCCAGAGACTCACATGACAAGAGCGACCTGGAACAAAGGCACAATAAAGTAAGTGGGCAGTTCAGCAGTGGTTCTTCTGTCTTCAGACACACATAAAATTAAAGAAACGCTACATCTGAGGAAAGTTCTTCCCAATCTTAGTTACTCAACTTCAGCTCTCTGAGTTAATGTACCAGCAGGCATACACAGGTAATAAATATGTAAAAAGGTCACTTTGGAAAATAACTTTAAAACCTCAAGATTTTGAAGAAATGTTGCTGTAAAGATTCTCGATACATCACTGTAGAAATCAATGCAAATTTTTTCATCTGCTGTGGTGTAAATAGGTTTGGGCTTCTGAAGACAAAGCATTATGCTTCTGCCTTGTATGAAACTTATATTGATTTGACTATTATTTTTGCTGTCAAAGAACGGGAAGAAAACTGATTAATAAAGAATAAATATTTAACCTGAATGACTTTGCCAATTTTAATGCATACAAATAGTATTATCTACAGAAAGAGCTCAAGTTTATAAATAGAGATAACATCTAGCTTTACAAAACAAACAAAATAAATTAATAATGTAGAAGAACTGGTTGAAGGGGTTTATTTAGTTTTGATTTGATGATGTACCTGCCTCCAAGTCAGCAATCAAAGTTTTTCATGAAAGCATAATCTTGCTGTTATCATTAGTTTTTCACAGAAATACTATGAACCTTGTTCATGCTACAAATGTCCTACAGGTAGCTTAAAAAAAGAACTCATAAGCTCTTAGCAATATTGTTTTCTACAGAAAGGTATTAAAAGGAAATATAAGGACATAAGGGTCCCTGATCCATGGCTGCAAATGCTGGCTAGAGGTCAAGTGGATTTATGTCTTTATGTTTCCAGTTCACATCTTGGCAGTCTTGGATTTTCTGCCAGCCAGTGGTGCTATCAGTATATTATTTCTATTTTTAAGAGGCTCTAACAGTAGGAAGAGCCACGTATGCATCTAGGTAAAACCTGGAGATCTCACAGACACAGAAGTCTCTGCATCTTATGCTTTGGGGGTTAATTCCTGGGTTTATTATTTCCACAATACACTTTTGAAGAAGCACAAATTTCAATTGTGGATCAAGTATGTAGGAAATTTGGTTTCTCTTCTAAATCTAAAATGATTTTTTTAAACGGGTCATGTCCATCACTGCTTCTCAGTTTCTCACATGAAAAATAAGACACACAATCGTTCCTCCTAGCATACAAAGACTTCAGGAGGTCAAATTAATTTTAAAAAAAGACTAATAAGTACCTTAAATACCAGGTGTTGAAAAATACTTCTTAACGCTCTAAGTAAACAATATATGAAATATTTGCATGCACTAATCCAAAGGAACTGTCATGTAGGCAAAGAATAAGGTTTTCTTATTTACAAAGGTATATTCCTGTAGTCAGTTATTTATAATTATTTTACTTCATGGTTTTAAATTGCTACAAACTTCAGATTTCTAAAAGAGAAAGCATGCATCATAAAGAAAATTAACAAAAACAAATCTCATTTCTTCTTGATACAGATACAGTCACAGCAAGCGCCTCTGAGGAGTCACTTCTGTCTATTTTACTTGCTTCTATTTTTTTTAATAGGGAAGCAAGTTTTGAAGTTTACTCAGGGTAAGCAATACCACAATTCCTTCTGAGTTCTGAAAGATTTTCTTGTAGACACTGCTTCATGAAACAAGGATCCACGGGACTGATCTGTGAAGGCTCATAGCTGCATTGTATGTCTGCACACAGCCTTAATGCAGTGACCGCAGCGACTGCGGCTTTGATGGAGATACACAAACCTACTTAATTTAAGAATTGCTGGTAGGCTGAAACTAGGGATCTGAATCCCGTTTAAAAAAACATCAGTCACCGCAGAGCCAAAGCATATCCTAAACTATGGGTCTGGAGACATTCCCAGTGACTATGGCAACATTTACCAAATTTCCATGATTTTTCTTGGTAAATCGACTTTTCCTCTCTAAAGCCTGGGGATTATCTTTCAACTAGATCAGCATGGTTGAAAGAATATATGAAAATACTAGGTAAAGCCATTCAGGCAAGAGAAACGTATATAGGTTTCCACATTCAGTTCCAGCTATGGAGATTAAAGATGAAAAATCACAGTGTCTTTGTTATCTTATTGTGCCCACCACATGAGCATTTAATGAGTGATGGGGTTTTTTTCCTACTATTTAATATTACAGCATTTTCCAGCACTTGAGAGTCAACCAACCTGAAGAAAGAAAAGCTGGTTTGCAGTGACTTTGGTTTAAGGGCTGGATAGTGCTGGAAGAACACAGCCCAGTTGGTGCCAACAGCTGGAGGAGGGGAACTGGTGCTCAGGGCACCGTGGCTGTCCCCTCAGACCCCTTCCGTCTAGAGGGGAAGCTTGGCACAGGCTCTGGGAGAGAGGAAACTGCTTGCAATGGCTATGTCTGTGCACTGAGATGGCTAACGAACAGCTTTAAATATCACCCGCCCTTGCAGTGGTGACCTATGGGATAGATGGGTAAATGCTGCTCGGCTCAAGATACTCACTTTGTAATGGATGGTTGATTTGCTCTATCAGAATAAGAAACATCCTGTTCAGACTGAATGTCAGCATAAGGTACTGTTATGGAGGTTATATTACTCCATCAGGGTTTAAATGGTACTTTCAAAACAGAGTGTTGACAAAAAGCACAATTAACATCCCGACTACAATCTGCATTGAGAGAAATGAGAAAAATGGGATTGCTCTATCAGGTCAATCTCATGTGAGATCTAGATCTAAAGGGAAAATTATTTGTGAAAAAAATGGATTCAGGCTGCTGGGTCTGTTATCAATGGGCTTTGTTAAAGCACATTCATTGTAAAGTAGTTGAATCCTGTTGGTATCCTGTGACGCCAAATACAGATCCACACTCTTCAACATAGCAAGAAAAGTAAGTAAGGTTTGATTTCTCATGCTAGGCTATATATATTTATATCTGGAAAATATAAATAAGGTGGCTTTTTTCTAGTTTCATTACTGAAATTTTTATCTTCTCTTTTATAAGTAGGGGGAAAAAATAATGTATCAATATAAAAAGTTATTCTTGCAATGTCAATAATTTTACTCAGATGCATAGTAGGACCAGTGTCATTCAAAAAGCTACTGATGCCTAACATAAAGCAACATACCCCTCAGTGAAGCTGAAGAAAAACCGCGTTTTAAAAATCTCATAACTAGGCAAAAATAGAAAGTTGGCCCAGAATTTAAAGTACACAATAAGAGCTAGATAATACAAAGAAGTTTGGTTCTCACTTAAGCCACTAAATTCAAAAGTAACAAAGATTCCAGCTTCCAAAACAAAGAAAATTTCTTTTAAACCCAGAACACACTGTGACTAAGTAGTTTTCTAGGGAAAAAAAAATATACCTAATACGAAAATCAAGAGCCAGCTATACCACTGTGCCAGGTTCTCAGATGGTATTAATTGGCACATCTGTGTATTGCAATCTAAACCTGCTTGAGCTTCAACCAGATCTTTTATGAACATTTGCAAGAGATTCTTGCAATTACTTTCTATTATCCCTCTGTGTGCAGAGGCCACAGTGTCAAGTACAACCCAGAATCTTAAACGTGAAGAGAGAAAACTATGTTTTTGCCATCTTTTTGCATGTTCTTCTGTTTTACTAGCCAAGAATCCTTTATGCTTTCCTTTTCTGACTTATGTCACAGTAAATGGCAGTATTATATCTGGTTTCAAGCAGCGTAACTGAACGTTCTGAAAAAGCTTTTGGGAAACTCTTAAAAAAAGATGGGGAAGATTTTATCCCTCACAGTCTATATATCAAAATCTGATGTTACCTGTAGGAAAACTCCAATTTTGCCAACTGTTTTCTTTCTTCCATCAGTAAAAATCATGACAAGTCATTTTGGTTTGGGTCAATTCAGCAAATACTCTGGCCTGGACTGAGTTGATCATGACAGAGCACAGTCATGATGCCTGAGAGACATAATCCAGTGAAGGCACTCAGCCCAAGAAGGATTATGGAGTTAGTTTAGGCAACCAATTTAGGCAACTACATTTTATTGCTTAAGTAATTAAAAAAAAAAAAAAAAAAAAAAAAAAAAAAAAAAAAAAAAAAAAAAAAAAAAAAAAAAAAAAAAAAAAAAAAAAAAAAAAAAGAAGAAGAAATTGTTTCAATAATCTGTAAATGAAAATCTGACTTTAAACTCCTTTTGCCCTATCAAATAGTCAATTGAGTCAATTGCTGAAATGGACATTCCTTGTGTGACAACTGATTCATATTCAACATATTCATTGATAAATCATTAAAAGAGACGCTAGGGACACCAGAGCCTTGACTCTACCAGAGTTTCAACTTCAGTTTGCCCTTAGTAAATGTTTCTTTAAAATAAAACCAAAAATGTATAACTCAGTACTGGCATAGTACACCCAAACACACATTTAGATAGAAATAACAGTGTTTGGAACCATACAGGCATACCTAAAACTTACTAAGTAAGTAATAATTACCTAACGATATTTTCATATCATCAGTTTTGTTCTGTTTCAAAGGCATGTCTCTGGATTTGTCATCATCTTAGCACTGAACAGCTTTCCCTGACACATTTGCACAGGAAGAATAATTAATTTTGCAAATTCTCGGAGGGACTCAGTCTCCACAACTGAAATGACATAAATGTCACAAACTCTCCTATAGTAGAGTAAATCAAGGTTTTCTTCCAGTTAAATAATACCAATTTTATTTATTTCCAGAATGTTCCTTGGCTTGTAATGAAGCAATATAATAAAATGTAAACTGTTTTGAGAATAAAGACTCTTGTGGCCTTTTGTAAATAAGAACAGTTACATTTCAACTCAGTAGGCAACTGTTGCATGAGTCCCACCTACAAAAGTGGGAACATAGCTTCAGAAATAACACACCAGAATGTTTTCTCACTGTATGTTTAACCAATATCCAGGGATGGGCATAATGTATTTCTATGGAGGTTGTCAAATAGCTATTTCACAGAATCACAGCATGGTAGGGATTGGAAGGGACCTTTGGAGACCATCTAGTCCAACCCCCAAGCCAAATCAGGTTCACCTAGAGCAGGCTGGACAGGAACCCATCCAAGAGGGTTTTGAATATCTCCAGAGAAGGAGACTCAACAATCTCTTTAGGAAGTTTGTTCCAGTGCTCTGGCACCCTGTTTTCCTATCATTCATGTTTGTTGACAATGCTAATAGCCACAGTCTCAAAAGTTATTTAAACAACTAGAAAATAATTAATAAATATTTGTCTGTGGTGTAGTGATATAGAAAGGCAACATTTACAGGGAGAGACCACAGTTTTTATTAAACTAGCCATCAAAGCTAGGAAAATGGTCGAGTTTTCAGGGACACAAGTCTAACCGATAAAGTTAACTGCTGGCTCAGTGCAGAGTGGGAACAATTGATGTGATTAACTTAATTATGTAAACAATTAAACAATTTGAAAGCAAAGGTATCTCATGAGGAGAGAGGAACATTAGCAGGACATTAAAGTTTATTTTGTCTGACTTTAGTATTACAGGCACCAACATAACACTCTTAGCACTATGGTAAGTTTAAAACAGGTCACGGTCCCTGTAGGTGTAACGTGGACTATTTGTGATTTCATCCTCCCTAACATTTCCTGTCCTTACTACAAAAATATAGTTAAGTGACTATAAAAAATCTTTATCTAACAAAAAAGTTCTATCAAACATAGACAAAGTGTGGGTAAATTTCACCCATGACTTGAATGATCCAAACAATACGATTATAGTTGATGTGAATTAAATTATGTTGAATTAAATTTACCATGGCATAACAGAGCACCACTTAGGCCATTTTAATGATCAGAAAGGTTGCATTTAAATTACAGGAGAATTAAAATACCTTCTTTCTAAAGTACTGAATATAAAAAAGTAACTCAGGACCTTGTATCTGATGGAGAAGCCCTCAGGCTCGAAGCATCCATAGATCCCTGTACGCTAGGGTTGATCCGGTTGCATGCTGTTGACACCTGGTTAGCAAGAGGTGAAACAGGTCCCAGCTGTTGAACTGTCATGGGACTGCTGGTGACTCTTACATTGTTGCAGCTGCCTTTTCCAATGGACTTGCACTTGGGTCCATAACCAAGACTGCCTGAAAATAAACAAGGCCGGTTAGTATTCATCTCCCATGAACCCATGATGAGGCCACAGAACTCACATCACTTTGCAAAGTAGGAAAAGCGACTAGAACTGGGTATCTTCAGATGAGGATGAAACAGGGGACCAAACTTCTCCAAACACAAAAAGCAATATTCTAAAGGGGAATTCACAATTTTGCACATTTAAAACATGTGCTGAAGTACATAAACTAAAGACCAGGCACCATGGATAAACATCATCAAAAAACACCACTGCAGGAGTCCATACAAAAGACCAGCCCTCCACTGAGGGACAGCCAAGTCGTAAGCACACCCTTCTCTGAAGAAAAAGGGAAGAGAGAATCCAAAGAGTCTGCAGGAACACCACCGGGCCTTGAATCCCACCAAACCCCACCGTTCCAAGCCACTGCGAGCCCTTTCATCATTCCTACTACCACAAGACAACCAAAAAGCAAGGGGACTGCAGGCACACACGCAAATTGCAACACCTGCACGGTCTGGTGTGGCAAAGTGCAGACACAGGCTGCATAGTTTACTTGGCAGGAGAGAGCTACAGCTGGAACCCAGCATTCCTCAAAGGGCTGGAGAGAGGAATTTGAGCTGGATCAAGCAGAGAAGCATTCTGGACTTTCTTTAAAAGGCCACAGTCTGCTCTTTTGCTCACTGCTGCCATGACTCAAAACTGAGACTCAAAAACGAGACGATTCCAGAGGTAGCTGGCAAGTGGGTCATCACTGCAAAATGCTCTGTGTACTTTGTGTTCTGATTTAGGTCACAGATGGTGGTTTACAAGATTCCCTGCATTTAAACATATCAAGATGAAAAGCTTAAAATGTAGGTCATGATATGGAAGTTGTCGGATATCTGGTGAATTCTCATCACAGCTGGAAATTAATAATTGTACTGTTCAAATTTCTAGCTGCTTCCCTGTGTTCAAACTAATCCCCAAAGCAAGACAGCAACATCAGGGCAAATAGTGAAAATTACTTCAATTTAAACCATTTTAAAATTAAATCTACTTTTGACTTGGCTGTATAATTAGTATACTAGTTTTTCTCAAGGATGTTCAAATGGGTTGTGAACTTCACACAGAAGTACATCAAGGCACATATGGCCCTCACAGTCATAGGATGAAAATCCAAATCCTGCAGTCTCCTCCAGATCAAATAGTATTATCTCAAAAATTTGCAATTCACCCTAGAAATTTCAAATTATAGCTTTTTTTTTTTTTTAATAAAGAGAGAAAAAATAGATACACTTCTTCCTGTTTCACTGGTCTCTGCTTTCTTTTCAAATTATTCTTCTTTTCTCTGGCTAATTAGTAATATGTCACATATGTGAGGAGCACATGTATGATTCTCAGTCCACTGGGATGCTAAGTGCTTTGTAAATTCATGTACAGATGCTACAAGTTGATTGCATGATCCACCACCAAAATGTACTCCTTGGGATGAAATGCGGCAGCCTTTTAAGAAAAACAACTTCCCACTGCTACTACTTCGAAATGTAACTGAAGAATATAGATCTGGCTGAAAACTCAAGGGCAAGGAAAGAAGAAAACATTTAATAACCCTCCCTGAAATTTAGCTAAAAGGGCTGGAAATTTCAGAGGACAAACATGTCAGAAGAATTCCTTGTACTGCACTCAACTCCATTGTGGGTACCAGAAAAAAAGCTTTTAAGCTTTGTAGGATTACTGTCTGCTCTCACTGAAGACATCCAATTAAATCAAAAGAATAAGAGAAGGCACTTTATTTTCTTTCCTCCGAAGGAGTTTGTATTTTGAACTCACTACAGCTGAATAAGTTGCTTTTATAATGTTACAGAGTGCTAAAATAGAATCAGCAAGCAAAAATTAAGCAAAAAAAGCATGTTACCCCTGGTATTAATATGAACGCTACTACTCTTATCAAAAGACTGGATGGGGTGAAGTTAAAAACTGACACAACACATTCATATCACATAAAATACATAATACTACATAATATGCCTCTGTGTGTGTGTGTGTATTACGTATGTTCAGTCAGGTATTTTTTTTAAAAGTGTCTTTAGTACATAGAACCCCAAAGGCTTTCTGCACCAAAGAATACACAAGACAGGGAAGTGTGCTATAATAACATGAGAAATCCAACTGATTTTGACACAGTTGAAATGCTTGTAGAGCCTATATATACTGACTACTTAGTAAGATATAAACCTAATATTTAGCATTGAGAAGAGCAGCTTTACCACAAAAATGTACCAAATATATACTCATTCTTCTCTGGATGACACCATAATGCCCTTCACTCATAAGCCACTTTCAACAAATTTCAATGGTAACAATCACATCTATATTATCATATTCAGGAAATCAAGATTTTCATTTAGGGATGGGCCATATGTCACCTAGTCAGTTCAAATAACAATCTGCAACCATACAGTGAAATAGCTATTTATACATGACTAGACCAGAGCTGCTTGGAACTTATATGCCAGAAAATAAATATGCCAAAAGCAGAGCGTGAAACGGGAGTTGTGTCAAACAAGTACTATTAAATATAGAATGTTGCCTCATCAAAAGACTCCGGTTTCCTTTGCAATTATAGGGTCTGCTCTTATTCTCTGTGCGTAAACATTACCTCAGTGATGCCAAGAACAGCTAAGAGAATTTGTTGTATGAGGATGAAGGCCATAGATATTGTGGTCACTGAAAGGAAAAAATAAGAAAAGGAGTGCTTTGCAGAGATTGAATTACTTGGATGACAGACAGAAGTAATGCAAGACTCTGGTCCTGATAAACATTTGCCTGGGAGTTTCTCTGATGCAGAAGTGGAAGGAAAAGGTTTTGTTCTTTTTATCATTGATAGACATTTGCTATTATGGAAAAAGCAATGACAATTCTTCCACTTAAAAGGTATGAAATGAATTCTCAAGAAAGAATCTATCATCAGTTCTCCCTGTTCAAAGAGGCTGCAAAGTAAAAAAGACTACTACTATGAAAGGCTAAGTCACAACATTTTATCCACTGCTTCATACAGGTCCCAATGTGTCAAAAGATCATCATTAATGCCTCATCTGTGCTCTTGCAGGTCACTGAGAAGTATTAATTTGATCTGAATCAGATGGGAGCGTACAATCACATGTCTGTTGAGCTAAGTCAGAGCACAAGATGGGAAGTTTATGCCAACTCTGGGCCAGCTGCAGTACAGACCACATCTGATCTAGCAAAAAGTTAAATGGGTGCAACATGGACATCTGACTGGGCAGGAGCCTGCTGCTAAAAGGCAAGCCATCAGAAAATATGTTTAAAAGCAGTGAATAAATGTGAACTGGCAGAACGACCATGTGCCACAACAGCATTTGGCATCTTATACCTACAGTGCGAGATAAGCCCCCAGTCCAGGTTTGCTGTATCATTGACCCAAAGCCTGAAAATTTTGGGATAGTGAAACCAGGAATTCCTTAATGTCTTGAATCCACATCAGCTGAGATAAATGGGATCCTCTTTGGAGGACATCAGTAGGTTTTGAATGAGACTGTAGATTTCTTTCTACAGTGTAGAACTGTAGAAAAATACGTGGACCTAATATTTTAAATCACCAAGAAAAGCAATTTATTTTCTTACATACTAAGAGAAGAATTTCATCAGGAGAGATGCCTATCAGGAGATAGTACAATAAGGGCAATGATAGTTGAGGAGGTGGCATCAGTCCTGAGATGGTTCACAGGAAGAGCTACAGTTGATTAGCATGTAATTTCTTCCAAATAAACACAGATTAATCAAAACTGCTCTTTCTCAATATCTACCAGTAATAGTTAATAAGTATAAGCAGTAAAAATATTTTATGGAAATATTTTAATGCATTTACTTCCTCATTCGTTAGCTTGCCTATTTTCCCTGTTTATTCTCCATAGTTGGTTAATAGCTAAACTTCACTCAACCTTGACATGCAAAAATATTTCACTGCAATCTGAAGAGCATTCAAAGAATACAGAAAAACACAATTACTTTAATTTAGATGCACTGAATTTCAGATAAGATTCTCTTAATTCAGATCACTCTCATACTTATTGGATGCTGAGTCCAATAGAGTCCATCTAAACACACTTTCTTTTATCAGATATTGATTAAAAACCAACCAATTTATGTGCCTACCTCTCCAAGTCAAGAGTAGCAACTCTTTAAATCTGCCATGTAACTCAGGTTATGAAATGAAATTGCTTCATCAAACCTTTGAAATTGCAAACTATGCTTCCCATTTATAAATGATAATACAACAAAAACATATAACAGCTAAACCAATCTTAATTGTTTGGTGTTCTGAAACACACAACGTACCGAACACATGACACCAGACAAATTCAATAATCTCTTCAATCAAAAAATTTTGCAATAACTGAATTAATCAGCATGACAGAAAGCTATTAAAATTACCGGAAAATCTGTCCTTTAGTTACTGTTCGAATAACAGCTAGAAATAAAAGAACTGCAACAAAAGAGCAAAAGGTAATTTCCCTAGGGGATTTTCTGTCTGTTCACATACCGTAATTAAGAGCTTTGGAAACTGTTGGTTTTAATGTTTCCCTTGTAACTGGCTTCCAGTCTTGTTCATGTGGATTCTGTATTCAGCAAAATGGGGACAAAAGGGTACACCCAAAAAAGTGTCTTGTAAGACAAAATATACTAACGAGGACAGAGTCCAAAGCAATAAGTAAGAATGTCTTGGAGCATTCTTCATGTAGATTAGACATTAGCCACCAAGACCATTTCAAACCAAACTCGATCTTCTCCTGCAACACGATGAACCTTTTGGGTGATGCAGTCCCCAGCTGCCATGTACATCTTTGCTGTGTGTCACTGTGTCTCTGGGGTTGTTGGCACCCTTCACAGGGCTTCGCAGCGGCTACTGACTGAACAAACTCAAAGCTTTACTTGGAAATATTATCCCGGTTCCTCTCACATTGGGGCTGCCATACCTTTCAGGTTTTCTCTCCACCAATTTTAG